ATCCCCCCCCCCCCCCCCCTAGCTTGAACTGCATGCATGACATTCACAAATAGAACATTTGGCGTTTCATTCAGAAGATATATAATTTAGGATGTTTATGTATACACCTCATCATTATTCCTAGTCTAGCAACAACAGTATAACGTTGTGACTTATTTTTTGTGAAATAATTTAATATTTATACTTGACGATCTCGCAGATATAAATGTTTTAAACATTGAAATTTTTAATTCATCTGCTTTTCTAAACCAAATATTTTCGACTTTTTTGTGATAGATACTAATTTCAACATAACTATCGAATGTACAACTGGGGAACTGATCACTGCCACATGGAATTACAGTAAAGACCATGACAAGAGCACTATGTGGAAAATTGAGCATATAGATTTGCCATCAAACTCTTGGATTGTAACATTGACCCGAAATGAAATTAGCTCCGATGAACGTGATATTAAATATAACATAACCATAAGTACTGTGCCCTCTAATGCTGCCACTGAAGGATCATGGGAATGTTCATACAGTGTGCAGTCATGTAAGCAAAATCCCCAAAATGCTCCTTACCTGCATCCATGGAAAAAAGCCCACAATTATGAAAAATATGGTTATTTGTTTTCTGAAATCTTCTTGGAAGGGAAAGGGATATGGGCTTATTCAAAACAGAACTACACCATTTCGTGCAGAAAAACGAATAGTAAGTCCAAACAATAATTAAAATTTAATATTTTCCTCTCTCCATTCCTTCAGAATCCGGACCTTCCTTTCTTTTATTTTTTTCTCTTTTTTTCCTTCAGGATCACTTTCTTCACAAAATTACTGATTTCTTCCCTCCCCCAAAAGGGGGAACAAATGGTTGTTATATAGACAACTGTTTTATTTTATTTTATTTGATTCTGTATGTGAATGTTTCATGTTGTTTTAGATGGATCCAAGTACATCGCCGTCAGGGAAAAGCGTACAATAGCAGATGCACAAAAATACTGTTTACATAAATATCAAAGTGGTACATTGGATAGTTTTACCGATCTATCTGACAAGCAAGAACTTACTGAGCTATTGCAAGCAGAGCGACGTGTACAGGTTTATTACTACTGGACAGGCCTGAAAAGAAAGAGAGAGAGTGGAAGTTGCCCATGCAGTAATGAACAATGTACTAAAGTTGCCAAAGGCAAAGAAGGACCTAATTCAATTTTTTTATCTAATGAATGTTTTGTTGCAATGAATTCGGCAAGTATAAAATGCTGGCCTTGCTCAGAAAGCTTATATTTTATATGCAAGGTCAATAAAGGTAATGAAATTTACTAATGGTTAACGTTAATAGCATGCTAATGAACTTATCAGAAGGTTTTAAATTGTTTAACTTTGTGGGAACCACACGCCACATTTATTTATTTTTCAAATATTTCATTCCGTAGCTTGGCATGAGTGCATTGTTTTATAGTTATATTATTTGTATTTGTACTTTTATCATACTGAAAATCCGGCTTTTGATTTGTCGTATTCCAAATAGTAGTATAGGAAAGAAGGGGTCTGGAGCGGCTGGTGCACTGTGCACCACCATGACATTATCATGGCGTCAATTCATATTGGTCATATGCAGTTATAATATCATTAAGGCGGCAATGACCATAAATTGCATTCCGTTTTAACAAAACTTTAACCGTTTACTATTTTACTATTGTTTTTGTCCCGGGCGTCCCGAAACGCGATAACTCCTTTAGTTCTCGCGCTTGTAGCATTATTCCCATATATTCAGTATTTTATTCATTAATGTGGTATTTCATAATTACTCGAATAGTAGTTGAAAACAGAACAACTCAGATTTAACCATAATTTTGAGAGGAGAGAATATACCATGGCGTTTTTTTTATAATAACAGTTGTTAAAAATGACCCGGAGGGCCGGCATTTTCATGGCCCGATGGCCCAATTCTCTAGGTACGTCCCCTTTACGTCACAGCTCAGTTTCTTCAAAATTTCCGCAAGAAAATATAAAGGACAATAGAAATTGAGTATAAAAAAGTGTATTTGAATCATCACATTACAAGGTTCTATTACATCATTTTAATAAGTCTTTTAACACCATCCTTGTTTTTCCACCCTACGGGGATTTGTGACACAACTTATTTGCTAATTTTATAATGTCCATGAGCTAATGTATTTATTTCTTCAAAACGTTTTACAAAGTTATGCTTCTGACATATATCGTTACTTGTTTCACCCCCAAAGGCCTTTTTGAAGGTTTGCCGGGACTTGGGAGAGGGTTAGAGAAATGGGTTAGGGAAAAAAAACTATCACACAGGATCGTATTTTATTTTATTTTATTCTCATAAACCAAACACAAACAACCATCAAAAGTCAATGTCACTAGGAGACCATGTGTTTCTGAAAAGTCTTTTCAAAAGAAATTTTCTCTTGTCAATAGTGGCCTCTAACGCTTCCCTGTGGTCGAAATTATCACCGTTGACAAAGAGATGCATCCCTGGTTTGCATAATCTTTTTGTGTAAATGGATTCCTGTTTATTTGTCTTATCCATAGTAGACGCTCCAGATAAATATTCTGCAAATTTTTACGAAGTTTTGGTAGGATAAGTAAATATGCCTTGTCTTTAGCTTCGTCTTCATCAAAACCTTTTGCAGTGAAATTCTGCGTTTGTTCTTGATGCGTTAGTTCTTGATGGGGAGGCAGTACTCCTGCCAACCATCAATCCGGCCACAAGGCCATAGAAAAGGCCCTTAGTGCCACTTTTTGCACTGGCCCCAAGGGCCTTTTCTTTGACCTCGTGGCCCGATTCTCTAGAATCCTCTTAGTGGGGAGGCAGTCCTCCTGTCAACCATCAATCGGGTCAAAAGGCCATAGAAAAGGCCCTTCCAGTCCTCGCATGAAGCTCCTCGCAACTCGTTGCGAGTGCTTCCATCTAATTAAAATTAACTGTTTAACATTGTGATTGGATGAATGTGCTCATGCATGCACTCACAGCGAGGAGCTTCGTGCGAGGACTGGAAATCCGCCTTTAGGGCCACTTCATAAAATGTACTGTTGCTAAAAAATTGATCATTCGCCGGTTGGTTGTGGCTGGAGTTGTTTCAACCTAACAATATACGAAGGAAATACAGTGCTGTTGGAAACCTACTACAGATTTCAGTGTAAAAATGAATGTAAAAAATGTAAAAAAGAATGCGAACGACCGCAGACTCTGATAGTGCTACATCAGATAGTGATGTTGAGAATTCGTATAACACTGACAACGAAGTGGAAACTGATTTTGCGTCAGAAAGTGATTTTGATAATGCAGATGATACTAGTAGTGAAGTATGTGATGAATACGAAAGTGGGCTCCTTTAAAAGCTGAAGCAACCAAACAAAGTTTATCGGAATTTGAAGAACTAACGCAGAATTTCACTGCAAAGGTTTTGACGAAGACGAAGCTAAAGACAAGGCGTACTTATCCTACCAAAACTTCGTAAAGATTTGCAGAATATTTATCTGGAGCGTCTACTATGGATAAGACAACTAAAGAGGGATCCAATACACAAAACGTTTATGGAAACCATGGATGCCTTTGTCAACATTGATAATTTCGATCACAGGGAAGCGTTAGAGGCCGCTATTAACAAGAAAAAAATTCTTTTGAAAAGACTTTTCAGAAACACATGGTCTCCTAGTGACATTGACTCATAGAAATAATTCCTATCTATCCATTGGGATACACTTAGTTCTCGCCTAATCCCTTAATTACTTATATTCCACCTAATGACTAGCAAAACATAACAAAGCAACATTTGCAAAGTTTAAAACATGTTTATTGATACAAATAACAGTTAAAAGATACCAAGTTTGCCTGTTAAACCGTAAGCAGATGTGAGAAATGTATATTCATGGCGCGAAAAAGTGCTGAGCTCAGCGAAAATAAGGACTGTTCGCCTGAACATGTCCATGCACGACCGCCCGTAATAGTATCCCTAGAATCCTCTTAGTGGGCAGGCTTGGTGGGAAGTATCCCTGCCAATCGGGACACAAGGCCATAGAAAAGTCCCTTAGGGCCACTTTTCATTTTAGAAGACGGTGTTAATACATTAGCTCATGGACATTATAAAATTAGCAAATAAGTTGTGTAACAAATCTCCGTAGGATGGAAAAACAAGGATGATGTTAAAAGACTTATTAAAATGATGTAATAAAACCTTGTAATGTGATGATTCAAATACACTTTTTTATACTCAATTTCTATTGTCCTTTATATTTTCTTGCGGAAGTTTTGAAGAGACTGAGCTGTGACGTAAAGGGGACGTACCTAGAGAATTGGGCCATCGGGCCATGAAAAAGCCGGCCCTCCGGGTCATTTTTAACAACTGTTATTATATAAAAAAACCGCCATGGTTTATTCTCTCCTCTCAAAATTATGGTTAAATCTGAGTTGTTCAGTTTTCAACTACTATTCGAGTAATTATTCAAATACCACATTAATGAATAAAATACTGAATATATGGGAATAATGCTACAAGCGCGAGAACTAAAGGAGTTATCGCGTTTCGGGACGCCCGGGACAAAAACAATAGTAAAATAGTAAACGGTTAAAGTTTTGTTAAAGCGGAATGCAATTATGGTCATTGCCGCCTTAATGATATTATAACTGCATGTGACCAATATGAATTGACGCCATGATGATGTCATGGGTGGTGCACAGTGCACCAGCCGCTCCAGAACCCCTCTTTCCTATACTACTTATATATATTCAACAACGAATTTAAGAGGGAAATGAAAATTTAAAAAGGGAGTTTGAAAGAACTCTTAATTTATACTTTTCCGTAGCGTGTTTGGTTTTCGAAATATTTCGACCAAAAAGAAAAAACGACGTGCATGCAGTCCGCCATCTTGGCTCTTGGTTCACTATGCATGACGTCACAAAGGGGGTAAAGACAACGTTTAATTCGGCTAACCACATATCATTACCCTTTTAGCAAGTGTGCCCGTTTATAACATCATTTAAATCGTGGCTAATTAGGTAAAATATAAAAACAAGATGGCGAACCAAAAATGATAGAAAGGGATTGTAAAGGATCTTCTTCATATGTTATTTTTGTTCTTTCAAATGAGGCAATTAAACTGGCAGTTTTTTATCGCCATTCCCCTCAAACTAAATTACGAACCTGCGTGAAATAAATATGTAAAAAGAATTAAATACCCGTAATTCACGTCGAAGAAAATATTAAGGAGAAGTATATATCTGAAGGTGTTTGAACGGGTTGAGTGTGATAATTACATATTATGCAGTATTCGCATTGCATTAGTTGGCATTACTGTTGTCTTATGCATGTTTCTTTTGTTCTCAAAGATCTCGGTATGAAGGGCATCATTGTTGACGTAGCTATCAACAGCACTGGGAGCATACAGATCGAGAATGACAAAAAGTCGGTAGAGGAAAATTTGAGACAACCTCGACGTTTCGTGTTACCAGAAGGCACACAAGTTGTGACCATAAAAGCTCGTAGGGATTATACAACTCCTGGTGGAATACTCGCGTTTTTCAGCGATGGTAATGTTACAGATACGTCGTGGAGTTGTATTGACTGCAGTCAATTCCAGTGTTTTGATGAATGTATATATGCATGCAAATCTTGTTCAAAATCTAACTGGGAAAAACCGTCAAAAACAACATTGAACACAATTTCATTTCCTAAAATTGCATCAAGTGCACAATGGATTTGGGTAAAAAATTCGTCCGCTAGCAGCGTGTGGTGCCGAAAAACCTTTGGTAAGTTCAAATAAAAATGAAAAATTTTCCTTGAAAAATTAGAGCCAACAACAACGTTGAGTTTATTGGTTTACTTTTCAAATTTTGTATAGAGATCTTTATGAATTTTGTGTAACCAAGCGATCGAATAAAAAAACTGTTCTACAGTTTAACTGATATGTTATTAGAAATGCCTACTATAAGTATACTAAAATATGCAACAAAGCGTACTAAAATCTGTAACAACAAAACAACTAAAATATGCATATTATATACCCATTCATTTCAAATACTCAACTGATAATTCATAAGCTTATTGGCAAATCATGTCAACCATAATATGTCACGTGCAGTATCAGCTTTAAACCTGATAAAACACTCCTAATTAACTCACTAATTAGTATTCTTTATATAAAGAATACTAATAAGGCAGTATCTATTGTAGTCGTGTCCTCATTAGTATTCTTTATATAAAGAATACCAATAAGGCAGTATATCTATTGAATTTAATTGTAGTCGTGTTTGAAGCCGTTTAATAAACTCGCAGGTCGTGTTTTATTAGGTCTAAAGCCACTGGCGCTGACTTTAAACCTAATAAAACACTCCTGCTCGTTTATTAAACAATACATAGTTTTGTTTCAGTATTTGACAATAACATCACATAAATTTAAGCTAGCGCTTGTCTGAGCAACGACCTAATTTTCGGGAAGGACAGCCGCGTGAAGCAGGAAAAAAGAGATTTTTACAATGTACGTGTCGATAATAATGTCAATTTTTTATTGATACTGCATGCACAAGATATTAATAATGTATACTGATGAGCATATTTTGGTAATCCCTATATAGCTAACTTATATATAGTCCCAGTGTTAACGATCATTAAAAAGCTCATTTGTTTACTTTGCGGAAGATAAATTAATGCATGCATGCCCAAGACTAAAAACGTCAAAGTGGACACATGCATTGTCTCATACCTAGCGGCTTTCCTATTGGCAACGAGGAGGTGCGTTCAATCTCTTATCCCATACCTCTGTTAAAAGCGGCTTTCTGATTGGTTTAGAGCAGGTGAGCTTGTCGTCGAGCTCACCTGCTTTTTGCCCGAACTCACCTTCTTTTCGCCAAACTCACCCGCGAAACTGCTTACGTTGCAAATATTATGGTTTTATGTACCCCTACATAGCGTCGTAATTCCTAACTTAATACATATCAGTATTTAATTATCACTTATTTACTGAAACCAAGCGAAACAGGGTGTTTTAATACCAGATTCCCCTTATTACGTTTTCGTAGCGCTTTGCATTGTGGTTATATAGTGGTATCACTGATATTCAAGATGGCTTATTTTTTTATTTATTAAAATGAACTCTTTTGTAACCAAAAAGGTTAAATTACAGAAGTTCTTAGCAACATGAAGTTATGGCTAAAAATATTATACTATAACTATATTACAATAAGAATAGATTGTGATGGCTAAGTACTAAAATAACTAGGTAATAATCCTACTATTCTTTTTAGAAATCATTTGGGAGAAAAAAAGACTGTTTAAAGCGGTCAGTTGTGCAGACATAATTATTAAAGTGCCTATAAACCCAAAATGGGTTTTTGATGATTCGGATAGAGCGTAAAAAGTTACAATAGAAGTTCTAGATTAGATTTTGATTTAAACTTCTAGTTTCTGAGATACAACGGCTCAAACACTCAAATTTTGCCATTTTTGAAAAAAAAGTCGCGCAACTCAAATTCACTGCAAAAGCCTGGGTCGGAGGAACACGTTCTTCGCGTTCAGTTGCTTTTCTATAATACAAGTAGACGCAACTTCGAGAGTTTTTGCCTTAAAATGCCTAAACGGTGTGTCGTTTACGGTTGTTCCAACGTTGCTGACACAAAGAAGGGTATTTCTATCTACCAATACCTTTTTGGAATGATAATTCGCCCGTAGCGGTCAGGAGAAGGAAAAGATGGCTGAGCCTTTGTTCGACACAGAGTCGCAGACGAGACAAATGGATCCAATTAGTGTGCTCAAAGCATTTCACTGAGGAGTGTTTTGTATACGGTTCTGAAAGTGTGGAAAAGAAAAACACTCCGAGACTACAGTACATAAAAATCAACTTTCTGGCAGTGTGAAATCAGAGCGCACAAGTCGCATGAAGCGAAGGAAGGTACTGTAAGCTAATAATACTTTATGTTTATTCACCAGAACTCGCATCATTAGCGCGTTTATTTACATATATTTGATTTGTGAATCAAACCTTTTCCTGTTATAAACTTATATTAAGGTATTTGTATAAAGTTTAAACGTTCTTATGTCGTGTAAACAGAGTCAGTCGAGAACAATAGAACTGCATGTCCTTAATATGGCTCATGTCGTGTATCACAACACATGGGCCAACGAAATTTATTATTAAATACCCTTTTATTATACCCTGTGACTATTTGACCGGCAGCCAGTCACGTTTCAAAATGTACTAAATGACCGGCAGTCTGGTATTTAGAGTTAAAGTCATGTTTAAAACACGGGCTCGATCATTGTAAACAACACAATTTATAATGCCAGTCATTTAGACATTTTGAAACATGACCAGCTGCGGGTCAAATAGTCACTCTGTTTATTATAAGACTAATCTTGTGGTTTCAACTTTATACGACAACAGGAACTTGTCGAAAACCCTGAAAAAGCACTGACAACATCAACTGCTGATGAGCCAGATCTATGTTGAACCTTGCACATCTACAGAACAAGGAGAAATGGTACGGTTGTTGGTGTGGTCTCATTTTTTATACACCGGGGGGATTTGAACTTTTGAAAATTTGATTGTTCAAATTCCCCACCCCCTGGCAAAAAGTGTGTTCAAATACCAAACTAAAACAAAAAAATTAATGGGAAAATTCCCTGTGCCAAGGAAATATTTATGAAACTGTCAAATGAATACAGAACACTGTTTTTAATGTATACGACATTCATAGATGTTAGATTTCAATTTCCGCCATCTTGTCTTAAGTTAACTTTTCAGACCGAATGACTGAAGTTCTTGCTCCAGATAGAGCTGACTGACAAAAACGTGCAAATTGTGATTTAGATTTAAATTCCCCACCACAAAGATTCAGAATGTCAAATTCCCTATTCCAAGGAGCCACCTTAAAGTCGAATGCCGGGAGGGGGGGGGGGCATTGTTTCAAATTGATTGTACATACATTAGACAATAGAACTAGCCAGTACTGTAATTATAGTTAATGTTGACAATATTTTATAATTTCAGTCCCTGCTGTTACAGTTAGTAGCAAGAAAAAAGCATCCAAACCAAGAAATCCACCAAAGTGAAGTGTATGCAAGCAGCCAATGAAAGGCCACAAAATTGTGACTAATTGTCCACGGAACAACAAGACCTAACAATATTTTACATAAATATTTAACATTCAAATAATAAACTTATAAGTTTTCATCGTCTGTTTCCAAGTCATCATAACCTTCAAATTCATCACCATTCTTGTTGTTATGTGTCAAATGTATTGCAGTATATGCACAAGCGCTCAGTGGTATACGTCTGTCCTTTAATTTGCTGTGAATCATGCGGGTAAACTGCCTATATGCAACAACTCGAAGAAATCTACAATATAATAAAAAGAATATTTCTTGGTTCAATTTTATACACTATACGAGTAGAAATCTGGTGGACAACATGCAGCAATGCGCGTAACCCATTTACTGGCAGTGGGTAAAATCGATCGTCTGGCGTTGGACAGAGTAAATAGTAAAGTAGGGCACATCTGAGCGCATTGCCAGTACTGGCAGTACCTTACCACTGATGAGTAAAATCATCTGCAGACTAAATAATAAAGTAGGTTGCATTGCAAGTTAATGAGTTAATTTGAAAACAACAACTTTGTTCTACCACACAAGCAGCTGCACAATGCATCGGTCAAATCCAAGCATGTCCATCCTCCACCCCGGGCTATTTGCCTCTGTGGCATGTGCCAGCGGAGGGTCATTTGCATGCAAACCTTTGCCCGGGGGTGAGGCATTTAAAATTAACATTATATTTTCTAAAGATTACTAATAATCTAAAACAACACAATCACATCAGTTTATCAAAATGTATGATGTCAATATTTTGTGTTAAACAGTGTCCCAAATAATGTCCCTAATTATTGTTTGTAGTACTGGTAACATAAAAGCTATGGTAGCAATACCCCAAAGTGCTTGGGCATTTTGGGAAATACCCGGTCACGATTGGAGATTGCAGCCTCAATTTCATTCATGTGACAAACTCCATATTTTTGCCTTAATGTCAGTATATATGTCAAACAAGTAGTTGAACATGATGCCTTGTAAAAATGCTAGATGGTATTCAATAATC